AGTTAGGTATTTTACTTATGTGTAAATAGCATCGCACCATTAACCATTTTTGCCCCATATAATAAAACTTCTATACTGGTGCTCATGTTAACTGAAGAACCAATGTGCACAAAAATAGAGTTTGTGGGAAGCAAATGTACTGTTCTAAAGGAATACTGTTCTAATATCAATACATCAAAGAAGATTTCAGAAGAAACACAATCAATACATAGATACACCAAAAAGTCTTGAAACTTCAATCTCAAAATTCTTTGTTATAACACCCTGCATTCTTTTTATCCACACGACTACTACTTCAATTGTTTATCTTGCTTATGGGCTTAAAAATAAAATTTTGCAAAAGAAGAAACTTCATCATGAATTATAATGGTTTACCAGTATACTAAGTTGGTATTAGGCAAAGTGTTGATATAGAATTTATTTCTACCATCTTCTTGATCTCTAAGTTCTTTTATACCCATATATTTCTACCCAGGCTCCCAGTTGTCTTTTCATTCTCACCCCACCTAGGGTATGTTTCTTATCAAGAGACTTATTTTTGCTTTCATTTAATCAAAAACTTATCTGTTCTCTTTCCTATTCCTTCCTTCACTCCACAAGATGGTCAATGAATGAAAATTAATTGGATCAAATAAATATGAAGATATTAACCAGATAGTGTACTACCATTTCCTGGAAATATTTTTAAATGAATTAGAATAGTGTTTCTCAAACTTTAGTAATCATCATAATCACTGCAGGGCCTGTAAAAACACAGGTTGCTGGGTTCCACCCCTGGAGGTTCTCATTCAGTAGGTCTCAAGTGAGGTCCAAGAATTCGCATTTCCCACAAGGTCCCAGGTGATACTAACGCTGTTTCTCCTTTGAGAATTGATTTAAAAATTTAACACACAATGGTACGTTAGGTAGTGTCATAGACTGAATTGTTCCTCAGTAGAAAACCCATCAGCTTAGACTGAAGGGGACAGAGAAACAACTGAAGGAGAGAACATAGTCTGCCTCTTGGAATTCTACAGGCAGGAAACAGGTCAAAGGAGCTACATCTGTTGTCTTTCAAGAAAAGAAAAGAATCATCGCTGGAGTGACCCGGAGATCAGCAGAACTGTTGGAAGGAGCATGAGAAGCAGTGCTGCCTCTGTCACAAAGGGTTAGGCCATGGCCTCTGGGGTTTCAAAGGGTGGGGCTATGGTCTTCTAAATCTCAAAGGGTGGGGCCACAGCCTCCTAGGTTTCAAAGAGCTGGATCTTCACCAACTCAGTTCCAGAGTGTGAGGCTGCCATTAAGGTGTGTCAGAGGGTTGTGGCCACCACCCAAAGCTGGGCAGGGCTGCCATGTCCATGGGGCAGAAGAACGGGGCCTGCCAGGGCCAGAAGGATGGAGTAGCCACTCAGATGGACTAGGAGAATGGGCTGCCCAAAGCCAAGGGAGCAGAGTTCCTGTCCCAGGGGGCCTGGAAGACAGTGCTGAAGCCCAGGGCTAAGTGCCCTCCGCCCAGAATCCAGAAAGCATAGCCAATACCCAGAGTCTGGAGAGCAGGGCCACTGCCTAGATGGTCTCAGAGAACAGAGGATTATTTTCAAGCCTTTAGAGCTAATGTAATTGGTTTGTTAGGTTTTGGACTTGCTTGGTGCCTGTTATCCCATCTTTTCCCTCCAATTTCTCCCGTTTGTAATGGAAAAATGTCTACCTTGTGCCTGTTACCACTGTATTCTGGAAAGAGATAACTTGTATTCTAGATTTCACAGGTTCACAGATGAAGAGGAATTTTGTCCCAGTATGCAACAAGGCTAAAGTCCCACTCATATTTGATTTAGATGATTCAGAAGATAAGATTTTGGATGTGGAGTCAATTTAAGACTTTTGGGATGATATGATGGGGTGAATGTGTTTTACATGTGGCAAGGACATGGATTTTGGGGATTCAAAGGTGGAAAGTCATGGATTGAACTGTCCCCAAAAAGTGTGTGTCAACTTTGCTAGGCCACAATTCCCAGTATTGTGCGGTTGTCCACTTTGTGATCTGATGTAATTACTATCCATTTTGTGATATGTTGTAAATCATAACTTTCATATGTTAATGAGGCAGGATCAGTGTGGGTTGTACCTTGACTCATAGCCTTATTCAAGTCACACCCTTACTTACGTCACACCCTTACTCAAGCTACACCCTTGCTTGAGTCACACCTTTTATCTTATAAGAGATAAGAGGAGAGAAAAGTGAGCAGAGAGGAGAGGGACCTCACTACCACCAAGATAGAAGAGCTGGGACCGGAGCACTTCATTTGCACCTGGGGACCCTGCACTGAGAACCTCCTAAACCCAGGGGAAGTTTGATGCCAAGACACATGGAAATCTCCAAGGAACACCAGGCCTACAGATGTTGAAAGGAGGCAAGGACCTTCCCCCAGAGCCGACAGAGAGAGAAAGCCTTCCCCTAGAGCTTGTGCCCTGAATACAGACTTCTAGCCACCTAAACTGTGAGAGAATAAATTTCTGTTTGTTAAAGCCACCCATTTATGGTATTTCTGTTATAGCAGCACTAGATAACTAAAATAGGTAGTTAGGTATCTGACTGGTCAGCAGATCTTCTATTTCCCTCTTATTAACACAAAGTAAGTCAATAATTAAGGCCAGCCCTGTAGGTCTGCATTTATATATAATATAAAAAAACAAACAAAGAAAAAACCTTCTTATTTTTTTTTAAATCAGTCTGGTTTGTATAGCACACAAACAAGCTGCATAAAACAACTATCCTTTCAAAAATCAAAAAATCCTATCTGAAGTCAGTTACAAGGTTTGTTTTTTGCTCTAATTGGGTTACGTAGAACATTTAGCTCTTTAAGACTTTACTACAGAGCAAATTTTAGCTCAAAGTTCTCCCTATATGACAGTTAGATGTCTCCTGTCCTTTCTCATATATTCTTGCACACAACATAATTACACTTGCTGCATAACTTCTGATTTTAAAAACTGGAGTAACAATATTGATCTAACTACCTAAAAAATAATCGATGATCCTAGATTCTCTCTGCTATATAATTTTTGACATATAATAGTCAAACATCTAATGACTATATTAAAATACCTGGAATATTTCCAAACTGTCTAATTTTCCACCATTTATTTTATTGGACTTTAAATTATATTTGAAAGAGAAATTAATATTTCTTGGACAGATACATATATATATTCTTTTTCTAAACAATCAACTTCTTCTCTAAATCTCTTATTAATTATCTATTATCACTACTGTATAATAAAACATCATAAGACTTCCTAGCAGAGGACAAAATATTATATTTGAAATAATAGTATTATAGTATGACAAAGTCAACAATGGTCACAGTCATAAGTAATGCATGATGTGAGCTCATTCAATAGATAAATTGTGTTTAAATGTGGCATACATTGTGATTATGTAACTTTTAAAAATATTTTAGTGCCACTGATATTAAATGTGGAAATAAGAGAACTCTTTACCCTGATTTCTGTGTGGTAAGATTCTTCAATTAGCTCATCTTATAAAATAATATAATTCAAGTATTATATAAAGTAGGAAAATAAATTTATTCATTTTTAATGTAATCAGAGAAAAATCACAGAGAACAGAGAATGCTTTTGATGCAAGCTTTAACTGGATAATATTATTTTTAGATTCCTAATTTGCATCATTCAATTTTTCTACCCATTCCACTTCCAATTTTTCCTCCTATCATTATTTACATGTAACTAGCAATTTAGTCAGAAACCTTGCTCTTCAGTGAGAAAGCTATCTTTGAAAGAAAGAGAAATAAAAATGTTGATAAAAAACTCTATAAATTCTGAAAAATTTACATTTACAATGATCATCAATTCTATAACAATTATTTCCAAAATAAATAAGGTAAACAGTATTTCTCTATTCATTGAAAATATCCCAATTTCAGCTCATGTCTGGCTAACTGTGAAGCTATTTCTAGCTTAAAACTATATAGTGTATATCATATGTGAATGTGAGAAACCAATAGTTTTAAAAACTTGACAATATTAATCTTATTTTTTACTTCATATCTTAAGGCAATGCCTCTAAAATGTTTAATTTTTCAATTGCAAAAAACATTACCACTGAACAAGTCAAAAACACACAAAAGTGCTACATATTTGGATGTAAAAATATATAGATAATATTATTTTATATTAAATTAATAGCTTTAACTTCTTTATCCTACTGTGAGGTACACAGAATTACAAATACACACATTTTGATTGTAAGTACACGTCGCAATATTAGTAACCTTATACCAAAGTCTCCCACCGTAGCCCTTGTAGGAAATGAAAAGATATCACTGGGATTACAAGGGACAGCTTGCTAAAAAATTCATACAATTTTTTAAATTTTTTGTAGCAAGATGATTAATTTAGGTTGTTAGCAGTCATGTATCTCTGATGTCAGGGAAAAAAATCATCACTCTGATGATACTGAAACATTGTGAGAAAGAATTACTGTTAGTAATCAGTGAGTTACTCAACAAAATAAATGTAAACCAAATTAATAATTAGATGTGTTTTCCAAAAATAAGGTGACTGTGCAAAAATAAATAAGTAAAGATCAGTGGAACTAGACATGATAACTTGGGCATTTCCCGAGCTTTAACGAGAGCCTGAGTTGTGATGCTACTGCAGAGATTTGATGATATGGTCTACTGTTCAACTGAGACCACCGAACACAGCTTTCTGAAACCTGCTTCATATCTCAGTTTTCACAATCACTAAGCATTTCCTTAGAATGTAAGGCTGTTCAGCTGAGATATAGTATTATGGTATCCTTCAGATTGCACACTACATTATCTGTAAATAAAAGCAAGGGCATCATCTTTCTCCTAAAATGCATAAATAGTAGATATATAAATGCTTTTAGTGCTCCTCAATGTAATCCATACTACAGTAACTACATAAAACACATACTTGTGTACATATATTGATAATAAAAGTGAATTTGTTATTCTGAATATTATCCTTACCTGTCAAGTTCTTTAATCCAAGTTCTTGAAGTCCAAAGTTCCCATCTTTTCTGTAGTTTAAAAATATTGCCAAGGCATATCGATCCTCATAAAGTTTTGTCCCACGAATAATACGTAAGTTCTCCAGAGGCAGGTAACGAAACTGATTAAGAGCCACTAACACGTAGCCTGTGACCTCTCGAATAGACTGAAAAGACAGAAACAATTGCCTGTATTAAAAAATTAAAGATTACTTGTCAGTATGTGTATACAGTCATTTAGATAAAAATGAGATATCTGACTCTAATTTTCAGCTTTTAATATACTTCTACATCATATTCTAAATAACTGTCTTGCTAATACAAGATTACAAAGGGTTAGAATCTCATGTGAAGTATGAGTTGTATTTTGAAAAAAAAACATGAATCTTCTTGAAGTAAAATAAAGGATTCTGTTTTACAGACATTTTCATAACTGGGATCTGAATATAATTAAATGAGTAAAGATCTTATTCACTGACAAACTGAAATGAGTTAAAGGCTCATAACATCAGTCAGACTTAGATTAAAAAAATTGTTAAGCTTATCTCAAATAAAACAAAGCTATAGTAGTTTGTAGAATGTGAGACAGATTGAAAACTACTATGTTCGTGTTTAATGCTCCATTTATCAAAGAAGATATGCCCTATACAACTCTGGGGAACTCGTCGATCACCAACATGTATTAAAGACTGATTATTGCCTCTAATTTGATTACAACCACGTTTTTTATTTTTACTGTGTATTGTTTATACTCAGTTGTCTATAATACGACTTAATTATTTGAAAGTTTGTGAGACTTTAGAATGTCAAGGAAGAAAAAGGCTTTCAGATTCATCTAAATTTACAGTTTCTCAGTAACATAAATAAGTTCATAATCGCAGTTTGATAAAATATGCAAAAATATTTTTTAAAAAACTGAAAGTAATACTAAAGTGATGAAATATTCGGTATTATTTTAATACTGATGTCATATTGTTTCACAGCTCTTAATTTCATAGTGCCCTAGTTTTCAGTCCTTGGTATTTTTTTCTTCTCTGTCTACTCTCGCTCCCTTGGTGATCTCATCCAGTTTGATGGCTGATGATCCCAAATCATGTATCTCCAGGCTCTCCCCTAAACTCCAGGCTCATACCCAACTACCTGTTCAACATCTTCCCTTGGATTTGTAATAAACATCTCAGATATAACCATCCAAAACTCCTATCTTCTTTCCCTTACCTCTCCAGCACGGGTGGATACTGTTGAGGCCAATATCTCGGTGCCATCCTTGACTCTCCTCACAGCACATTCAAATCATTCCTATTTGTTCTACTATCAAAATGATGAAGAATCCAACCACTTTTTACATCATCCACTGCTTCCACCTGGGTCACCATCATTGCTCATTGTTTCCACTCTTGATCCCTTATCACATATTCTCAGTTGAGGCTAACTGATTCTTTTAAAACATATGTCATCATGACACTCTAATACTTAAAACCCTGAAACATCTCCCAAATCTCTCAGAGTAATAGATAAAGTCCTTTCAATGACCAGTAAAAATCTATATCTGTCTGGCCAATACGGTAACTACTACCATTTAAAAATAAACAAAAAAATTCATTGTCATTGAGTTGATTCCGACTCATAGCAACCCTGTAAGATAGAGTAGAACTGCCCCATAGTGTTTCCAAGTCTGTAAATCTTTAAGAAGCAAGACTGCCACATCTTTCTCCCACAGAGCGGCTGGTGAGTTTGAACTGCTGACCTTTCAGATAGCAGCTGAGCACTTTAACCACTGTGTAACAAGGGCTCCTTGACTACTACCATACATGCCTATTAAACAATTTAAACGTGATTAGTCCAAATTGAGATGTGCTGTAAGAATAAAATACGCTCTGGGATTTTGAACCCTTAGTATAAAAATAATGGTGTGTTTTTTATCTTGATTATATATTGAAATGATAATATTTAAGATAAATTGGGTTAGATAAAATATATTATTAAACTTAATCTCAACTGTTTCTTTTTACTTGCTTTATATGTCTACACGAACATTTAACATTACATTTCTGGCTCTCATTATATTAGACAGGGCTGCTCCATATATTATCTGGTCATCAGTTCCCTTTCTGAGCTGTCCTACTAAATCTCCCCCTTGCTTACTCTATTCAAATTATGCTGACCACCTAGTTGTTCTTCCAACATGCCAGGTGTGGTCTCACCTTAAGGTGTCCACTCTACCCTTATGGGCCTGAGTTGCTCTCCCTCTTGTTACCTTCTTGGCTAACTCCCTCTTTGCCTTCAAGTCTTTGCCCAAATCTAACCTTCTCAGTTGAAGCACAAGTCTCATTGAACTAATACTGCAACCTAACCTCCACCTATGGTCTATTTTTTTATTTTTTCCACAGTACTTCTCACCTGCTAACAAACTATATGATTTACGTATTTATTACACTTATTATTTATAGTCAGTTTCTCCCTTTCTCAGAATATAAGCTTCACAAGGGTAAATTCTTTTATTTGTTCACTGCGTGTGCTATGTGGCCAGAACTGCACTGGTACATAGTAAACAATCAACAAATATTTGCTGAACACTCTGAAGCTCCTCTGGCCACATCCTTCACCTACTGGGAGACTGCATCCCCCCTCTTCTAGACACTGTTCCAAATAGACAATGCTTCAAAGCCCTGTGAGTCCAGAATTTCCTTCCTAAATAACCTCACATCCTCATCCAGGGCCTGTGAGACCATCTATCCCAGTTGTGTTCCCCAGAAAATAGACTGTGCCACCAGTGCACACACTTCTAGGCAGAAGAGGTGCTCCAGGTGCAGCTGCTTAAGAGAAGAGCAGAAGGATCCTGGATGTGTGGGTTAGAAGGTCCACTCACTTAACATGCAAGACCTCTCAAAACACTGGACAGAACTGGGTAGGGGAAAGAATTCAGGCTGGGGCCCATTTCTCTCCATGCCACAATATTCCTGAGGAGTCCAAATATTCTAACTTTGCACCTGGCCACTGAAATTTTTATAAAGATATATCTGTTAAAGTGAGAAGTTAGAACACATTTTATTTAAGCATGTGTAAGTTTGACTTATAACAAAAATCAAGACGTGGACTATGTGGGCCTCTATTTATCCTGACGGTGCAGTGACTAAGAGCCAAGGCTGCTAACCAAAAGTTCAGCAGTTCAAAGCCACCAGCCGCTTCTTGGAAATCCTATAGGGCAGTTCTACTTTGTCCTGTTGGGTCACTATGAGTCAGAATCGATTTGACAGCAATGGTTTTTTATTTATACTGTTGTTTCTGGTCCCACAACTCTAAGGTTGAACATAAAACCACTAATCACCTAGAGGCGTAGAATCCTAATGGAGCACAGATGGAGAGAAAGAGACAAATAAGATCTGAAACTACTCATGGCTGGCACGCAGATGGGGAACTCTAAGCCACTATGGGCATTCCTGAGATGCTGAGTACCTGGGAGTGAAGAGATGCTTTTAGGAATTGAAAAGATGAGTGGAAAGTCAGAAGTGGCATGCATTGTTTGTAGATCAGAATTTGTCAGAAGTTTCTCCTGTTTGAATGAAATAGACCTAGTACTTCAAATGTCCACTTTTAGCTACTGTTCCTAACACTAAACTGTTACCCTTATGAGTATTCAGAAGAGAAATCATAAATACTTTCTGACATCAGGTGCTCTAAAAAGTAAGATACTTACATTCATTGTAAAACTTATTTACCCTTTGATTTGTATGCAATAATCATCAAGCGCTCTTAGTTCACAACATAACTTGCAGCAGTAGGATCAAGCTTTTGCCTAGAACATGTCATAATATAACATCCATCATTCTTCCTAACAGTGGGTTCATCATTAGTTCCAACCACTTAGGAAGTGACTCTTATCAAAAGGTGTGAAAATACTCTTTTGTCTAGAACATGTCATAATATCCGTCATTCTTCCTAACAGAGGACTCCATCATTAGCTCCAACCCTACTTAGGAAGGGATGCTATCAGAAAACATAGATAAAGCACATTTAGGTAAAAGAAAAGGTTTATGAGCCAAGAACGTCAGTAGCCATTTTGCAGTGTTTATAAGAGGAAGAAACTCTTTATAGCTATTAATTGATAAAGATGTGCCACTTGGCATGGCTTCTGGACCACATATCAACAGAAGCTTAAAATAACCTGCAAGTAATAGGGACCCTAGTTCCCTTAGCTGAAAGAGGAAATAATTACAACTAAGAACATATTTGCATTCACATATTATTTAACGTGCTTATATTTGGATTAACTACATTGTAAAATGTGTACACTTTTTGTTGCAGAGTGTGCATTAAATTATTATTAGAAACACTCTTGCTATCTTCCTAGAGTCAGGTTAAAACCAACAGCTACTTCTTGCTAAGATACCTGGCTGGAGGGATTGGCTCCTATAATTAAGATTCTGGTGTCCAAAATAAGCCTCTTTCAGTTTCCTGTCCCAGTTATGCTTATTTCTCTTTAGTCTTGAAAAATATTATGTGTTGCTTAAATGCTAGCTTCACAAATAGTTTTTTGTTTTATGACCTCTGGATATCATTACATGTACTGAGACTGCATATGTTCAATCCACTTTAAACAAAACACCCACAAGTAGGTGCTTAGTGAATTTGTTGATAACAACCATGGAGAAGTTTGTATTCCCCTTATCCTTCATGTCCCTTTCTCTTCCTCAGAGAAATAATGTTAATGATAGAAAAAGTAAGGATGACAGAAAATCCTTCAGCCTAAGACTTGTTGTTCCAACCTTTTATGTCTGGAGGGGCTCATGAATCCAAAGAGCTTTTTAAATAGTTCAATGAGCGATAAAAAATTTAATCAGAGATAAATATAAAAGTCTTAAAAGCACCAAGTTGTGCCTTAATTTTGAACTCCTAAAATTTTCAGTTTCCTGGTGTTCATTCTTTCAGATTTTCTTGAAACCTTCCTTTGAATAAATACCCTGAAGTCCTTCCGCTACCCAGTTCCGCCCGGTGTTTTGAGAGGTCTTGCACGTAAGTGAGTGGACCCTCTAACCCACACATCCACGATCCTTCTGCTCTCCCCTTAAGGAGCTGCATCTGGACCACCGCTTCTGCCTAGAGGTGTGCATACTGGTGGCACAGTCTATTTTCTGGGGAACACAACTGGGATAGATGCTCCGATTGA